AATCCTAGTGTAAGTGAGACTATCTCAGAATATGACGGGACTATTATTTATTCTCAATCCAGGAGACTGGATCGATGGGCAGAACACTTTAGGGATCAGTTCAACTGGCCACGAGCCACTCTTCGGTTACCCACGATCTCCAGTCATCCTGAATGGCAAATCGACCTAAGTCCCCCTAGTCTTAATGAAGTTGAGAAAGCGTTAGGAAATCTGAAGCGAGGACGAGCTGCAGGTCCTGATAGACTGACCCCTGAGATATTTAAGGATGGTGGCCCAGTTTTAGCAGCTAGATTGACTGAGATCTTAGGTAGAATCTGGGAACTGGACGTAATCTCATCCGACCGGTCTCAATCACTGATTGTCCCAATCTATAAGAAAGGACAAAAGTCTTCTTGTGACAACCACAGGGGAATAAGTCTAACTAATATAGTATCTAAAATATTGGCCTCAATAATACTTCGACGCTTAACGAAAGCTCGTGAAGAGCAGACTCGAGAAAACCAGGCTGGTTTTCGACCTGGACGTGGCTGCATAGACCACGTTTTCACACTCAGACAGGTCCTGGAACATAGACACACATTTAGGCGTCCTACAATAGTTGTTTTCCTAAACCTTAAGGCGGCATTTGACTCTGTTGATCGTAAGGTTCTGTGGCAGTGTCTGTCATTGAAAGGTGTACCACAGAAGTACATTAACCTTATACAAGCTCTTTACTCGAACACCACTGGTCGAGTGAGAGCTTATGGCGAACTGTCAACGGAATTCTTTACTTCAAGTGGTGTCCGTCAGGGATGTCCAGTCTCTTCATTTTTGTTTAATTTTATCATAGACATGCTCCTAGAAATAACCTTATCATCGTCTGAATTTTCAGTAGACTTATTACCAGGAGGCTCGCTTATCGTCTTAGAATATGCAGATGACATAGTCCTACTTGGTGAAGACGCTGACAAAATGCAGAGTCTTCTGACTACCCTAAGCAACAATGCAAGCATGTTCGGGATGCGGTTTTCCCCCTCGAAATGCGAAATGTTGCTTCAAGACTGGGTTGCATCGGCACCTGAACTAGTGATAAGGAGTGAAGTAGTCAAACGTGTAGACCGCTTCACCTATCTTGGGAGTCTCATCAGTGCCGATGGCCTTGTGACTGACGAAATCTCAGCTCGGATACAGAAGGCTCGATTGGCTTTTGCCGACCTGCGTCACTTATGGAGTAGGCGAGATATCCGTTTGCTGACTAAAGGACGAGTGTACTGCGCAGTAGTTCGCTCCGTCTTACTTTATGGCTGTGAAACATGGCCAGTGAGAGTAGGAGATTTTCGTAGGTTACTGGTTTTCGATCATAGGTGTCTTCGAAGCATTGCTCGTATATGCTGGGACACCCGAGTGAGCAACGCTGTTATTAGGAATCGGGTGCTAGGTAAGAATGGCAGATCAATCGATGAAGTATTGAAACTTCATCAATTGAGGTGGTTGGGACATGTGTTGCGTATGCCCAACCACCGACTGCCTCGTCGAGCTTTGTTTTGTAGTGTAGGAATAGGTTGGAAGAAAGTTAGGGGCGGCCAAACCAAAACATGGCAGAAATCCATGAAGTCATTGACTAGTGGACTTAGCCATGTCGGTAATTGTCAACTACCTGGTTGGGGCCGCGAGATGATAATAATCGATGGTTAGAGACCTTGAATGACATGGCTCAAAATCGTTCGCAATGGCGCCGATGCATTTATTCTCTGTGTTCTCTCAAATCCTAATCTTCTGGATTCTTCGACCCCTCTAGTTTCGACTCTCTAAACTTTTCTCACTGAATCATACTTTTTGAATAATATCTTCTAATCCTAACCTCTCCTATTACTTCTAATAGCTTTACTACCTCTTCTACTATTGGATTTGAATTGACAATTACATCTCTGTGCTGATGTGGTATGGCGACATGAACTGATGTACTTACGTACGAAGTTCTACGTTGCATCTGACTGACTGATTGACTGATCAACGTTGGACCCAACTAGATCTCATTGTCATCAGCCACCGATGGAGGGGTTCGATAGAGGACTGTCGCTGGTTCTGGGGCACATGGTTAGATTCAGATCATGCCCTAGTGCGAGCTCGTATTTGTGTGAGGCTTACTGGACGTAGGAAAGACACCGCGACTAAATCTCTGAGGGTTCTATTTAATGATAATAAAGCTGTGAATATATTTCAGGAACAACTAGAAAGAGTGCAAGTGATTCCCATTCGGAAGCAGGTTGGAACGATATCAAAAATGCTGTGGAAACAGCAGTGATACCTGCTAGTAAGGTTGACCATTTGGCTAGAATGAAGCCGTGGATCTCAGAAGCATCCACCGATCTGATGGATGCCCGAAAACCCATCCCACCTGGCTTTGAACATGATGAAGTGCGAACTCAGCTTAGGCGCAGGCTGATAATAAGCCTCCGCAACGACCGCGAGAAGTGGTGGGTAGAGAAAGCAAGAACTACAGAAAAGGCTGCGGCGATAGGCGACAGCAGACATTTGTTCCTCCTCATCAATGAAACCGGTATATGAAATCCGACTATCATACTGCCGGAAATGGATTGGCTTATTATTCATTTTCAATCCAGGAGACTGGATCGATGAGCAGGGATCAGTTCAACTGGATTTCGGTCACGATTCGTTTGCCCAAGATCTCCATTCAGCCTGAGTGGCAAATCGACGTAAGTCTTCCAACTGTTTATGAAGTTTGGAAGGCCATAAGAAATTTAAAATGAGGGGGAGCAGCGGATCCTGATGTATTGACTTTTGAGATTTTTGGGGAGAGTGGTCTAGCTTTAGCAGTAAGATAATGTACAGAATCCAGGAAAGAAGCATGATCCCATCTGACTGGTCTCATTCACTGATTGTCCCAGTCTCCTCTTTTGACAATCATAGAGTAATAAGTCCAACTAATATGGTGTCTAAATTGTTACCTAGATGACACTTCAACGCCTAACAAGAGCTAATGAAGAGCAGACTCGAGAAAACCAGGCTGGTTTCAGACTTGGACGTGAATGTGAAGATCATATATTTACACTACATCCGGTCCTAAATCATAGACACACGTTCAGATGTCCCACGAAAGTAGTGTTTCTAGACCTAAAGGTGGCATTTGACTCTGTTGATCATGAGGTTCTATGGCAGCATCCGTCACTCACAGGAATGCTACAAAAGTACAATAACCTGATACAAAACCTCCACTTGAATACCACTGGTCGAGTGAGAACTCATAGCGATCTATTATAGGAACCAATTACTTCAGGTGGTGTTTGCTAGGGTTGTCCACTTTCTCCATTCATGTTTGACTGTGTCATAGACGTAGAGTTAAGAGTATCCTAGTGACTTTTCAGGGGTGAACCTTCTACCAGGAAACTGGCTTGCTGAATTAGAGTATGCTGGTGACCTAGTTCTACTTGGTGAAGACTGACAAAATGAAGTCTTCTGACTACCCTAAGCAACAATGCAAACATGTTCGGAACGCGATTCTCTCCGTCGGAATGCAAAACTTTGCTTTGGGATGGGCTTGTGTCGGCACCTGTACTAGTGATAAGGAGTAAAGTATTTGAGCTTGTCGACCGTATTATTTATCTTGGCAGTCACATCAGTATCGATTGCCTGGTGTCTGACGAAATCTCACCATGGATACAGAATGCTCCATTGGCCTTTGCCGACCTTCATCATTAATGGCATAGGCGAAATATCTGTCTACTAGCCAAAGGTCGACTCTACTTTACGGATGCCGAACATGGCCAGTCAGAGTAGAAGATATTCGTAGGTTACCAGTTTCTGATCGCAGGTGTTCCCGAAGCACTGCCCATTTATCGTGGGATCATCGAGTAATGCTGTTGTTAGGAAACAGGTACTATATAAGGATGGCGAAGTATTGAAACTTCATCATTTGAGGTAGCTAGGACATTTGCTACGAATGCCAAACCACTTACTGTCTTGTTGAGCTATGTTTTGTGATGTAGGGGTAGGCTGGAAGAAAGCCATGGGCAGCCGAGCCAAAACATGGTCTAAATACATGAAGTCACTGACAAGTGGATTGAGTCACGTTGGTAAATGTAGACAACATGGTTTGGGTCTGCGAGATGATAGTAATCGATGGTTAGAGGCCTTGAACGACATGGCTCAAAACCGTTCGCAATAGCGTTCTTCGTCTTCGCTGAAATCTCAATCTTTCTAAATTCCCCATGACCATTTTTTCCCCTTTTTTAATTGATTCTTCTCGGGGATACATCTCGAATGATATATTCGATCATTAATCTTTTTGATTACTGCTAATACTTGCACTATCTCCGCTACTATTGGATTTGAATTGACAACTGCAACTCTGTACTAATGTGGTATGGCAACTTGAACTGATGTGCGTACATACGAAGTCCTACGCTGTAACTGACTGACTGACAAATGAAAACCCTACACAAATCGTCTAGTGATTTCAATTTCGAAGCTTTTCTAGCACACAGAAGTAATGGAATATGATCATGATGTTCCATTCAGCTCTAAACTCTTTTCATCTCAACAGATAACTTGGAAAATATTGTATTGCACTATACAAAAGTGAATTTCTAATAAGGATAAAACACGAAAAAGCCCAAAACTTGAACAATGTTTTCCTGATGTAGAGACTCTTGAACCCTCTGTTAGCACTGATAGGCGTTATCTTTTAAACTTACCTGTCTCAAACAAACTTGACATCTACTTTAAATTCATAGAAATTGAATGAAGCAGCTATAAATTATGCCTAAACAAGTCATCTCATAATTCATCCCAGACTGGATTAATATATTTCTGCGATCTATAACTCTAATTCATAAACCAGTCATGGAAATTAAGGGATAAGTCGTTCTATAGTCCTACTTCAATAAGTTTGAAGATTGAGGTTAAGATTTGTTTCAGGTCACTGATATCGGCGCGCAACCAAAAGTGGGTTGTTAAGCGTGGTTGTGTGGCTGGAATTTGGTTGGTCATATCGTATCAATATGAACGGAAAAAATGAAGTCGGTGATAAAAAAAGTTTGTGTCCTTCCAGTACATCGTGTGAGTCTACCACCGAGTCGTCAGATATGACCTCAAAGGATTACTATTTCGACTCATACGCGCATTTCGGAATTCATGAGGTATGCAATTAGCATACATAGAATTATGTTTCAGGAAATGCTTAAAGATGAAATCAGAACACTCACCTATCGTAGTGCTTTAGTACACAACAAACATCTCGTAAGAGATAAAGTAGTATTAGATGTGGGTTGTGGAACCGCTATACTCTGTTTGTTTGCGATTAAAGCCGGAGCCAAACACGCTATTGGAGTAATTGTTCTTCTGGGCTATATTAGTTTTAGATTGACTGTTCTAACATCATTGACCGAGCAATGGAAATCGTCCAGGCCAACAATATGGCGGATCGTAAGTTTGTCTTTCATTCACGAATTCTCATAACCGCTTCTTAATGTATCTAATATCTCTTGTTTACCATTTTTCAGGTATTACTTTGATCAAAGGAAAAGTAGAAGAAGTAGAACTGCCTCCAGAGTACCCCAAGGTTGATATTGTCATCAGTGAATGGATGGGTTACTGTCTGTTTTACGAGTCAATGTTGAATACTGTAATTTATGCCAGAGACAAATGGTTGGTAAGCATTCTGTCCATTTTACTTGGTCAAAATCCAGTTTCTGAGTTAGTCGCTAAATATGCTCACGTTCCTCCTGGTTGCTACACAGCACGGATTCAGAAAGCCCGGTTGGCTTTTGCCAACTTGCGTCACTTATTGCGCAGGCGAGATATCCGTTTGCTAACCACAGGACGAGTTTACTGCACAGCAGTTCGCTCGGTCCAATTATATGGATGCGAAACATGGTCGGTAAGAGTAGGAGACTTTCGTAGGCTACTAGAAGTCGGTTATAGATGTCTTCGATGCATTGCTCGTATATCCTGGGACAACAGAGCGAGCCATTCAATAGTTGGGAAAGGAGTACTAGGTAGGGATCGCAGATCAATAGATGGAGTGTTGAAACTTCATCAGTTGAGGTGGTTGGGACATGTGTTACGTATGCCTAACAGCCGACTGCCTCGTCGAGCTACGATTTATTGTGTAAGGGTAGGCTGGAAGAAAGCTAGGGACGGCCAAACCACAACACGTCACAAATCTAAGAAGTCACTGACAAGTGGACTAACTCACGTTGATAGGTGCAGACTAACCTGGTTGGGGTCTGTGAGATGATAGTAACCGATGGTGAGAGACTTTGAATGATATGGCTGAAAATCATTTGAAATGGCGCAGGTGCATGCACTTACCTCTCAGATTCCAGTCTTTTAAATTCCTCATCTCCATCTTTCTCTTTCTAAAGTTATCTACCTGAATTATACTTCTTGCATAATATCTTCGAACCCTAATCTCCATTACTGCTAATGCTTCTACTATCTCTATTACTATGGGATTTGAACTGATAGTTTCGTCTCTGTGCTGATGCGGTTTGGCAACCGGAACTTATTTACTCATGTACGAAGTCCTTCGTTGTAACTGACTGACCGGTGACTACTATTTACCTCCAAGTCTAGTGTTGATTAGTTGCATTTGTAGGCTTTAGGTAAGGACTGTCTGAATCAAAGCGGGCCAGTGTAGTTGTTCATCAAGCTATTAACTCAGTATCGTGATAGAGTTCTTTTGTCCACTCCTAAATGTCAGCTTCAGGTGTGTCTAGTAACCGAAAATAATCGTCTCTAATTTAGCGCTGGGACTATAGTAAGTTGACATAAGAACTTATGGTTGATTTGATAGTTTGGTTGGTATCTCAATCTAGTTCACATTGGGCAGTCAGCTGTCTAATTTTCCAGCTCTGCAAAATGTCTTGTTAGGTGCGATCTATAACCAAGTATGATGTGAGTTATTAAGTTCCGTTACTCTTAGTTGATGAATCAATCATATAGTTTAAGTGTTAGCATTTTCGCATCTTTCACAGGCTCCCGGCGGTATAATTATGCCCGATCGTGCAACCCTTTATGTGTGTGCCATCGAAGATAGACAATACAAAGATGAAAAAATTAACTGTAAGTTATATTTCCAAAACACATTATTTGATATCTGTTTTTAGTAGGATCGAACGTGTTTGTATTTAATACTTTTGTACAGTGTAACCTATTATGTAACATGTATGAAGTCCTACCTATAAGCTGGTTCAGACTTTCAGTATATTTAATGTTTCCATCACTTTTCATGTGTTGACCTTCTACTAGTTTGGTAAATAAAGGTCTAAAGCGTCGGGCAAACAAAACCAGTAATAGTCACTTCATCACAAATGGGGATATTTGTAATTTTGAAAAGCACCCATTTACGTTTATTAATGTGGTAAATTTTTCATACTTTTTGTAGGGTGGGACAGCGTTTATGGTTTCGATATGAGTTGCATAAGGAAGGTCGCACTTACGGAACCCTTAGTCGATGTTGTTGATCCTAACCAAGTTGTGACTAATTGCTGTTTGGTCAAGGAGGTTGATATGTACACCATCACAGTTCCTGAATTATCTTTCAGTGCGCCATTTACACTTACTTGCAAAAGAAATGATTACATCCAGGCCCTAGTTACGTTTTTCAATATTGACTTCACCTCCTGCCACAAACCTACAGGATTCTCCACAGGTTAGTTAGCATCCTTTTTATAAAGAACTGTTGGATATTTATATTTACTTCATTCCCATAAACTATTGAAATGTATCTAAGATCGTTGCTTGCAGCTGATCAAATCATTTGTTAAGCTATTCTTTTGGGCACAAAAAGTTTAGTTAGGAATCAGAAATTGAATTTTAATATTAAACCTCATCACTTGAGATGATATAGGCGACTTATCACTACCTCATCTCCACCACTTTCTCGTATTAATTTTGAAAGTAAGGTTTTCTGTTTTTGTTCGCTTCCAAATCTGGACGCCCATAGTTAGGTCACATATCTGGGGCATACTGCTTTCAGCATTAGTCAGTATTGTTAAAGTTTAATTTGTATTCAGGTATTTACAATGTAGAATTCCGTACGTACGTGCATCATTTTGAGTTGAAACTTAGTTATCACATTCTCGAACACTATCCCCCTTCGAAATTCGTGCATAATCTATCAGTTAGTCATAAATCTATAGCTAACCAACGCTTGTGAAACTTTGTGTTGTCTTTTTAACTCGTGGTCTGATTAGGCGAACACACGTTTAACTTACCCAACTTTACAAAGTTAGGAAACACTTTCGTAAACACGAAAATGAAGCTTTCAACTCGTATGTATAACTAAATGGCAAGATTGCGCCAGCTTAGGATACGCATTGACCATCGCTGCCTAAAAATCGTCGACTACGTTTCACCACGTCACTCGCAAGCAATAAAAGTTTTCTTGTCATAAGAAGTGTTAACGTCGCTGCGTCGACTCGGTGCGAAAATTTGAACCAATGCACATGTGTCGGTCCCACGATTGAAATGCCTGACCAGCCAAAAGGCACTGAATTTCTACTTCAGACATCAACATCGAGCTTGTTACGGGTGTACATTGGTCTATATACATGCCAGGTAAACACTATGAAATGAAAATAGCGTAAAGAATTGATGCCAAAATTACTAAACACTGAAGTCAAAATGTGTATGAAGGATTATTAAAACTCTGAGCTGGTAGTGGTCACCCAAACCCTAACCAGGTAGTCTAAATTTACCAACTAGGCGCAGACTAGTAGCGAGTGACCACACTGTTATCTCTCAACGTAAGAAACGTTTCAATCTCGAATACTTCGATTTTATTTACCTAACCCATTGAATCACATTCTTTAACGTAAATAGAAAAAGAAACGTTTCTCTGTTCTTTGCCGATATCACTTTTCGTTTTAAACACGTCATTTCTTTACCATTGTAGAGCCAATAATAGCTTTATAAGTATATCTTTTTGTTTGATAACAAGGTCCTGATGAGCGCCGCTATACTCATTGGAAGCAAACAGTTTTTTATCTTGATAATGGCGATGACGATTGTCTGACAGTAAAGAAAGGAGAACAAATTAACGGTGTGATGTATATCAAACCGAATGAACGAAATAACGTGAGTTGATTTAATTTTGGCTTCCAACTGGTTAGATCACTTTACTGAACCATGTAGTAATGTACCAACATCAAACACTGAACCACACTTGCATATTTTTCAACACCATTCATAAGGAAATGGTGAACAGCACTATTCAGTATTATTGATTATAATATAACCTCTGAA